ATAGAGATAGAGATAGAGATAGAGATAGAGATAGAGATAGAGATAGAGATAGAGATAGAAAGAGAGAGAGAGAGAGAGAAAGAGAGAGAGGAGAGAGAGAGGCACAGAGAGAAAGAGATCAACCATCTTCCCACCCTCACGTCTCTCTCTCTCCTCACCATCGCAGCAGGCGGAGGAGGAGATGAGGCTGCTCCGCTGGCAGGCTGAGCGAGAGAGGAGCCTGGGGAAGCCTTACCTCGGCACCTCCCTGCAGGCAACGATGAGCTCTCTCATGCTCGCGGGACAGCACAAGATGGCCGAGGAACTGCGGAAGGACTTCAAGGTGCCCGACAGACGGTAGGTGGCGCCACCGTCGCTCGAAGTCGACTCGTGTTGTTCGGTAGTTTTGTTCGGTTGTTCGGTTGTTTTGTTTGGTTGTTCGGTTGTTTTGCTTGGTTGTTCGGTTGCGTTGTTTGTGCTTCGATGTTCTCTGTTCTTTTCTTTCATTTGTAGGCTTCCTTTGCTTCGTTCGTTTGCTGCTCCTCTCGTTCTTTCTGTGTTTGTTTAATTCGTTTGGTTGTTCGTGTATTCGTTTATTAATTAATGAATTCATTTATTTCTTCTAGGTTCTGGTGGATGAAAATTAAGGCGCTATCCAGTGTCGGTGATTGGGCAGAACTCGAGAAATTCTCTCGCTCCAAGAAGTCCCCGATCGGATATGAGGTGAAGTCCTCCCTCCGATCTTCCTTGTCCTCCTCCACTTTTCATCCTACCTCTCTCTTTGTATCCCCCCTCCTTCCCCCTCCTCCCCCATCCTACCCCTCTCTTTCCCTTACCCTTCCTCCTCCCTCTGCTTTGCCGTCTTCTCCCCTCCCTTCTGTCCCTGCATCCCCCCACCAGACTTTATATTTATGCAGTTTGGCACAGTGTTTATGTATGTGTGTATGTCTGTGTGCGTGCGTGTGTGTGTACGCGCGTTTGTGCGTGCGTTTGTGCGTGCGTGTGTGCGTGCGTTTGTGTGTACGTGCATTTACGTGCGCGCGTGCGTGCGTGCGTCTGCATGTTTATTTATTTATCTCTACGTGGCGCAGCGTAATGTGTAACCGCGAGTGTTGTTCGCGTCGTTGCAGCCGTTCGTGGAGGCGTGCGCGGAGTACAGGAACATGTACGAGGCGAAGAACAAGTACATTCCGCGCGTCGCCGCCGAGAACAAGGTCAAGTGTCTCGTTAAGATAGGGTGAGTGTTGTTGGTGCGAGGGGAGAAGGAGAGCGTCGGTGTAGGTTGGCCGAGGGCAGGGGGCGTCGGTGTAGGTTGGCCGAGGGCAGGGGGCGTCGGTGTCGGTCGGCCGAGGGCAAGGGGCGCCGATGTAGGGAATACTTTATACTGTGATACTTGGTTTAGATTGAAACTTAGACTGACGCGCGTGTTTGCATTGTTGTTTAGTTTACACTGTGATACTGAGACTGAAAAAGTCTCTAAAGACGGGAGAGTTCCTCATGTCAATTACCAGGATACCGGTCGCTTACGCCCTCTATCTGCAGGTATGGCAACTTTTTAATGATTCACGTAGGATGCTATTACGTTTTTTAAAATATTTTGTGTTGTCTGGATGCATTTCAAGGATATTTTTTCAAATAACGATAATCGGAACTAGCAGACCAAAAAAACCTGCATTGCTCCTAAACCTTGCTAACAATATCCATGTGTTTGTACAGCGCACTACTATTAATTATTACGTATTAGTATTAATTATTAGTATTAATTAGTACGTGGCACTAACCAGAGGTGCATGGTAATTAATAAGTGGCACTAAATCGTGAACGCTACTAGTATTTATATACGCGTGCGCGCGTCCGTTACTTTTGCCAGCTGTGCCGGCAGCAGAACAGAGAGATGCTGAGAGACATGTTCTACCAGACGGACAACTTCAACGAGGAAGCTTACTGCTTCATACACGCCAGCTACCAGCAGAAGGTAGGAGGTAGCCCACGCCCCCGCCCACCACCATCCGTCGTCCCCGGTCCATCTATCCCGAATAGCTTGCTAAACTTCACTATCCTTTATAAGTAAGCTTACTAAAGTTTACCAGCTTCTCTGAAGCAGGCAGAACTAGACAGAGGGCACTCACGGAGAGTGCATACCTCCGCCAGCATGTAACATGTATGTGTTACGAGCTGGCTCGCCGCTCGCTGCTGGCTGCTGCTGACTGTCTGGCCTGCTGCTGACTCGATGCACTAATATCGATCGCGCGTGCACACTAACACACGAAGGGACTAACACACGAACACACTACACGAGAGCGATCACATAACCTCCTCCACTTCGTGAGCGGAGGTAATAACTATCGTTCGCTTATCCGGTACCCAGGGAGAAGGAAGGGTGGGGGGAGGGGGGGGGGGGGTAATAACGTGATAAGATGTAATCACACAGTGAGATAATGACACGATACTGTACGCATGGCTCCTGTATCGTGTTGTCGTGCCGTGTTATTGTTCTGGTGTTATTGTATCGTGTTATTGT